CTTTCCTGAGTTGTGAAGTCTGCTCACCCTTCACACAGTCTGGCAGTATAGGGGGCCAAGGATAAGTTGTCTGCCCAGCCAGAGGATGTGGAGACACTTTCTGCACAGCTCCCCAGGGTCTTTATTGGCCTCCATGGTAACCGTCCCAACAGTGCACCCGTTATGAACTGTCCCTTCTTCCCCATTCACTCCCTGTCACTCCCTGGTCCTCCCTGGCTCCGGCATAACGCATCTGCACCCCCGCCTCAGGCTGTGCTTTCAGGAGACTCCGCCCATCAAGCCTCTCTTCCTTTGTCCTCAGGCTAGCCCCATTTGGAGCCTTGTGATGGGGGCCCCAGATGGGGATCAGACTCAAGCTCAACTCCTCCCACACACATAGCACACAGGTCACACACGACACACACAGGTGCCACACACGTGCCATGCACCTAAGTGGAACACATGCATGCACACACACACACACACACACACACACACACACACACACACACTGTGCCTCCCTAACCCTGCCCAGACTGGGTGTGGTAGAGTCTTGGTCTATACACAACCATTAAACCTAACTGTCTTCGTCTTTCGGGCACAGACGGCCCAGCTTAGAAATGACAGAACTTTCCCCTCACTGTCCTGGAGGCTCCAGCATGGCGGGATATGTGAGGCCCTTCTTCCAAGCTACAGACACTATTCCCATCATCAGGGGTCCCCCTCGCCCCATCCTAATACCATCACCTTGGGGGTTAGGTTTAAACATACGAATTTGTGGGGACACAAACAGTCCCTAACAGTGAGGTAATGGTACTCGGCAGCCCTGGTGGTGTCAGGATCCTTCCTGAACTACCTGCTCCAGTCGGGCAGAGTCGAGGTTTTTCTTTACCACACTAGACACTGCAGCCACATCCAGGTATCTCAGCACACCCCCAGCCACCCGGGCCGGCCTGCAGCCACCCCTGCTTCCTCCCACATTCTCCTCTTCCATCAGCAGTCCTATCGCTGCCAGAGGTCTGTCTTCAGCCTGACCCCCTCCCTCAAATTCACCTTCAGTGCAACAGCTCAGGGGCTGCCTTCTCTGAGAACAAGGCCCCAGCCCCACCAGCCCAGCGCTGAGTTGTGGGGTAGCAAGCTTGGCCATCCCAGAGTCTTATATATGAGGGAGGTCCCATCTGGGCCATGGACAATCAAGGCAGGGACCAGGGGTGCTGGGAAAGGCCTGGGGGTGCCAAGACCAGTGTAGAGTCTTATTGGGGTGCTGCTGACAGAGTTGGGGCTGAGCCTGCCACTGGGCCATATGCCAGCAAAGAGTCGCAGTTGCTCATCCCCCAGAAGTTCCCCAGAGACCTGCTCCTGTCTCCTTGCCACCCTCCCTTCCCCTCCTCCTCTCCAGGCATGCTGGCCTCTTTGCTTTCTCACAAAGGTCTGAAGCCATACTGGCCACAGGACCTTTGTTTCTGCTCTCATTGCTGCCAGAGTGCTCTTCCCACAGACCTGCGAGGCTGATTCCTCAGCATTCAGATCTCAACTTCTCCCGAGCCCTCCCACCTGAAAGCAGCCCTGGCCACATTCAGTCACCTCTGCATTGGTTACTTTATGGCATTTAGCACGCTCTAAAATGGTTGTTTTTTATTATTCTTTTGTTTGCATGCTTAGTTTTCAGTTTCCCCTCTCTATACAACAGGCTGCAAAGGGCTGCAAAGGGCTGCAAAGGGCAGCAAAGGGCTGCAAAGGGCAGAACCCTGTGTGCGGCCTGCTGCTTACGGCCAGTAAGCGGAGGCTCTTGGGATATACCCAGCAGACAGGTGGCTCAGGATGGGGTTGCATGAGGGTCAGCACCCCCTCTGTCCCAGCCCATGACACTCCAGGAATTAGCTCCTGGCCATGTTCCGGGACAAAAGGGAGGCCTGGGGTGGGAACTTGCTGGACAGCATGCTCCCAGGTGATTTGAGAAGGGGGTCAGGGAAGTGCCAGGGCCCAACTGTACCACCCATAGGCAGTGTCCCCCAAAGAGTTCTGTCGTGGCTGGGAGCGGAACTCCATGCTCGACTGAGGAGTTGCCGGTCATGGTTTCCCTGACGGGCACCCTCATCACAGCCCTGATGAGAGCCTGCGTGACAGAAGGGGACACAGTGCTTCAGGGGGCAGGGCCTTCTCCCTTCATCGCGGGGCATAGCCCTACCTCACCCACAGGAGCTGTGGTCAAGGGTAAGTCTACCCTTAGGTTTCAGGTGTCCTGCCAGCACTGCCCACATCACACCCTGCACCCAGCAGGCAACTATGCCTTAGTTGCCTCCTAGGCTTTGCTTACAGAGAGGGATCAGTGGGGTGAGACTGCCCCTGCTCCATCAAGCTACACTAGGTCAGGAGGCCCCACAGTGCTGCTCCTCCAAGAGGGGCCCAGGCCTGACCGGAGGGCCAGGGGCAAGAACTGAGAACACGCGTCAACCTCAGGACTGTCCCAGCACACTCTGATGCTCATCCATGTGCTGTGATGTCCCCTCTGCCAGCCTCTGTTTCCCCTCCCCTTCACTACCACCTGGCCCGTGGCATTGGTCCTAAGCATCATCTGTGTGCCCCAGGCAGGTGCCTACTCTCCACAGGCCTCAGTTTCCCCAACTGTGCAGAACATTTTCTGGATTCTGTTTATAATTTGTCTGGCTTTCTGGAAACAGACTTCAGGGGTATGCTTGGAGCAGCATCCTATTACAGCCTCAGGGCTAGCATGGGCCAGTTTGACCTCCGCTCCAGGGAGGCCATTGTGGTGGCAGGATGGCCTCTGAGCAGGTTTTCTGATCCAGCAGATGGGTAAAGGAGAGTCCTGGAGCCCTCGGTGGGTTTCTCAGGTTTTCATTGAGCTGTTACATATAGAGCAGCAACCAGGTACCCGGCAAGCAGGGGTTGGGGGGGGGGTGGCAAGGAGGCCACCAGGAGCCCCCCCCCCCCACATTTCTTTACTCTGAGTTTGTCTGGCTTTCTGGCTTCTTTTCTCCCCTTCTCTCTCCTGCTTCTGCTTCTCCTGGTGACTATCTCAATAATCCCCCGGTGGCCCACAAAAGTAAGATAGCTTGCAACAATGCAACAACTGTAGGTGCCCCCATCAGGCAAGGCAATTCTAATGGTGGGAGGGCAGAAAAGCCTGAAAAACCATTTACCCTACACAATCCTCAGGCCAGAGCCATCCTCAGTCTCCTGGCCCAAGGAGACAACCTGAGCACCGCAGCCCTGGGCTCTCTTGGAACTAGCCAGCAGCTGTTTCTGAGGGTGTCAGCAACCCAGGTTTGCTCTGTGCCCTTTTGCCACACACTGACTGGGAGCTACGTGATGGGTTCCTGCTTATATGGTTTAAGGACCTGGATCAAATTATTCCTGAAAGCAGCTATCTTGACTTTTAATACTTCATAGGCCAAAATACCATTTTTACATAAGCTGGTTAGGTTGGGTTTCCTTCCACATCTCACCAGTCAGGCTCTGACTGAAGCAGAGGACAAACATCCTGACCTCTGTGCTGGGACGCACCAGGAACCTTTTTTTTTTTTTTTTTAAGATTTGTTTATTTATGCATACAAGAGCTGGGATACAGACTAGAGATGCAGAGGATGAGAGGATTCATTCACCAGAGACAGAGCAGGGAACAGAACAGGCAGACTGATGAAATACACTGCTGAAGGGAGCAACAGGCGTGACAGGAGAGGTCTGCTGCGCCATGTGGGTTTCTCTCTGGCCGGCTGGGGATCGAACTTGTGTTGCAGAGGCTGCAGATTGCTTCATAATGTGGTGCTTAACCCCTTGCACCACCAGGGAGGCCCTCACCAGGAATCTTTTAAGATCCAAGTAGAGTCAGCTGAGGAAGATCACTGGACCCTACTCAGGCCCCCTTCCTATTCTAAAAGTGAAATAGGACACTGTCATTCTTGAAGCACCACAGGATCTGCAGAGTGGTGACAGACCCTCCCTGTTGGCCAGTTCCTGGCTGTAGGGTAAGTGATTTTCAGGCTTTTCTGCCCTCCTGCCATTAGGATTGCCCTGCCTGATGAGGCACCTGCATTTTGTTACATTATTATGTTATGTTGTTTACGTCTATGGGCCATGGCAGCAGTATTGAGATGTTCGCCAAAGGAAAGCAGAGACAGGAGAGAGAAGGGGAGAAAGACCGCCAGAGAAGCCCAGGGTGAAGACTTGCTGGGCGGTAGGCGGCCTCCCGGCCACCCCCGTCTGCCGTGTACCTGGTTGCTGCACTAGGTGTACCAGCGCAATAAAAGCCTGAGAAAGCCACGGAGGGCTCCAGCACTCTCCTTTACCCGCCTGCCCGAATCATAAAGAACCAGCCCTGTGACCATCCACCCCTACACTGGGCCCGCTCTCTCTCCATCCCCACAGAGGGCTAAGCGGGGGGAGTTATGTGCAGTCTCCCCACCCCATTGCCCACCCTGTACCCAACAGGACTCGGAAAGAGACAAACCCCAGTTCAGTAGCCATGACACAGGAGAGTCCAGAGAAGCGGCCCGGGCCCAGGCTTGAGGAAAGGGGTGTGGTGAGGGGGAAGCTGATCTTAGGGTGTCAGGGAGTTGCCAGATGACGGAGTTGGTGGCAGGAGAGGGGCAGCTGGGGGCAGGAGCCAGGCTCTAGGAGGGCATCACGTGATGCTTGGAGTAAAACCCCGCCTCTGGGGCGGGAGGTGAGTCGCAGCAGAGCGCCCCGAACGCAGGGCTGGGCGCTCGCCCTTGACCCTGAGGCTGTGAGCGGAGGGGGGCTGGGCGGACAAGGCCGCCCGGGGCGCGGGGCGCGGGGCGGCGGCGCGGGCGGGAAGAGGACCTCCCGGCAGGCGCCCGCGCCTCCACCCGCGCTCCTCCGCGCGGCCGCGAGGGGGCGCAGCGCCGCGCTGCTCCGGGGCTGGCCGCGAGCGCGAGGGGGGCTGCACCCGCGCACCGCGCGAGCTGCGGGCGACCCGCGCCAGCTGCCGGCAGCGCCCCGGGAGCACTGCGGGCGTGGCGGGCGCTGCCCATGGGCACGGCCGAGAGTGCAGGCAAGCCGGGAGCCGGTGAGTGGGGGTGCGGCCGGGCAGGACACCCGCCCAGCGGGCGCAGGCGCGGGGATGGGGCGTTGGGGAGGGGCGGGGGTGACGGGGTGCAGGGGCAGCGAGGTGGGGACGCGTAGTTACCGCCTGGAGACCCGGCGCGAAGCACGGGCGTCCGGGTCGTTGTGCGGGGACTCGCGGGCCCGACCGCGCACAGGTGCGCGCCTGGGGCTGCGCGCGGCCGGCCTGGCGGCGCGGCGGGAGCGGCGCACCGCGCGACTGTGGCCGACCGGCGCGTGTGCCCGGCGGTGCGGGTGGGGGCACCGGTGAAGGGCACACCCAGGGCCACCGTTGCGGAAGATCGGTTCTGCAGTGCGCACCCCGCCACTCCAGTTGCGCGAGGAGCAAGCCTTTCAGCCGCTCGGGCGACTGGAAACGCAGCGTGGACCCGAAGCCTCCACCGCGTGCTGAGTCTCAGTTTCCCGGTCTATGAAATGGGAACAGCCGGGCTGGCCTGCGGGCGGGAGGGTGAGAGGGCCTCGGGAAGAGAACCCGCGTCGTCACAGGGAAGAGGCGGTGGTGTCGGCGAGGCTGGGATGGGATTGGGGGAAGCATTGGCGCCACTATGAGAGAGCCCGCAGGGACTGGTGGGGTGTGCGTGAGATTCTGGGTGTGTCCCTCACTCTGACAGCAGGGACGGCCAGGGGACCCCTGCTTTCCTCCTTTCTGTGTTCAGATGGGGAGAGGAAAGCCTGAGGAAAGACTGGAAGGGTATGTCCGACCCTGTCCCCTGCTCATCATGGGGAGCAGCTAGGGGTGATGAGGGACTCACCCAGGCCCTCTCTCCTGCCTCCTGGGGCAGCTAGGCAGGTGTCCAGCTGAGGCTCAGGGACCAGAGAAGCTTCTGGGAAGAGTCACCTGCCTGTCAGGGGCTGTGTCCCCATCTTAGAGTAGAAGTAACTGCAGCTTAGAGAAGGGACAGGACTTGTTCCAGGTCTCAGGACCATGAAGTGGCAAAACTGGGCCTCCAGCTGTGGTAGGACTGCCTCCAAAGCCAGGCTCCAGCTGCTGTACCAAGTGACCAGGGGATGTCTAGGGGTTGTCCACCCAGTGACTCGAAGCATTCACTGAGCAGCTACTATGTGCTTTCTGCTTCCTGCCCCAGTGTGTGCTTACCAGCAGATGTGAAAAGTAGGATGCTGAACAAGTAAGGGAAAAACCCAGGTCAGGGCAGAGGATCAGTGTGAGGAAGAAAGTAAAACAGAGTCACTGAGGTAGAGAGAAAAGGGGGTAGGGGCAGAACCTTTGCCTAGTCAGGGATAGTGTCCCTGAGCAGTGACCGCTGGCTGTGATGTAACTGGAAGGGAGGAACCCAGGCCAGGGAACAACAGATGCAAGGTCCCTGAGGCAGACACATGTGGCAGGTGAGAGTATTTGGAATAGAGCCAAGAGGGGGGCTATGGGATCAGATGTTCCTCTGGGTGCAGTGGACAGTCCCTGGAGGGTATAGGTTTTGAGTGTTAAAAGGATAGCCCTGAGGCAGGTGGAGGACTCAGGGGTCAGGGAAGGGAGCAGGGAAGAGCACGCTGGAGTGGCCAGGTAGAGCTGTAGTCTTGGACCAGGTGGCAATGAGGAAAAGGAGAAATTTTCCAGGAGGAGTCAACAGGTTCTGTATATGTAATCATTTGCTTAATCCTATAATAATCCAAAATAATTTTTCAGCCACTGCATCCAAACCACTGCTGGCCAAAACCTTCTAGGTGAGGTTCTGGATTTCTTGGCGGATAGACTCAGTTTTGGGTATATTACCAAGTTTATATTCCATTAGCTTCATCTGTTCCTGCTTGCATGCACTTTTGGTATTTTTCTTTTTGTCTTTTTGGAAACTGGTTATATGGTTCAAAGATCTAAATGATTAAGCTGCTCTTCTTAAAATTCATAATCCCATCAGTGTCTTTCCCTCCTTTTCCCCACACTGTAAGTAATCTTTAGAAATCACTTCTGTTTTATCTTTCCTGGGTTTCTTTTTTGTAGAACAAGTCATTTATGCATTTTGTGGAACAAGTTATTTATGCATTTTCATAAAAATTAGCATAAGCATGTCCTTTGCACCTTGCATTTTTAAATTAAAAATATTCCCTTAGCAATTCATAGGACCTTCCTTGCTTGTTGACTCACAGGGCAGCAGCTTTGGGAGTGGCGTGACAAGAGAGATTAGAAAAGTCCTTGCGGAGCAGTGAGAAGCCTAGAGGGGCTACAGGGGAAGTAACGTGCAGCCCTCATCCAAAGGCAGTTGCATTTTTGTTAGCATCAAGTACAACGGTGGGGCAAGTAAGTGGGGAGTGTCCACATGTGGGGGAAGCAGTTATTGAGGGTATGAGCTAGGGTGAAGTGGCCAGGGGCTACTGCCTGGGGGGCTGGTAGTGGTTAGGGTTAGGGTTCTGGCTGGTCAAAGTATATTATCTCCTTTGACTACCTCCCTGCTCTTTTAAGCAGATACTCATTTCCCAGTATGAGCCTCATACCAGGACTTCTCCCCTTGGTGAGAGGCCCCCTGCATGATCCTGCCTATAGCTGACAAGTAGGAGCTCTGGCCACCAAGACCATATCCCTAGAACAAGGGGCCTGGAGATCCCACACTTGCTCTTTCATGTAGCCACCTGGCCCTCCAGCGTGTGGCCATGCTCGTGTCACCATTTGTCCTATAAATGGACACTGATTTTTTTCGCAAGCCTTTTTTTAATTAAAAATAATGGAGTAATGGACCCTCTATTTCTGTGTATTTGTGGAGGTCTTTCATTCATTTGCAGAAGTAGTCATGAATCACTTAGCAATGGGGGTACATTCTGAGAAATATACCCTTGGGTGATTTTGTGATTGCACAAAATGTGACAGGTGTAGTCACATAGCTCTGAGTGGTATAGCCCACTACACACCCAGCCTAGGGCGAGCCTACTGTGGCATGTAGGGTAGTGGCCACAAGGTGTACATTGCATGTGCCTGTATTTATTTCAGGACCATTCCCAAATTCTCCCTTCCCCAAATTTTGCACTGCCACCAGTGATGCAAAATACTGTTGCCCCCACAGCCTCACCAATCTGAGAGTGGAGAAATAGTATTTCAGTTTATATTTCTGTTATATGAGTGAAACCAAGTACCTTTTCAACTCTTTATAAGTTGTTTAATTATCTTTTTTCTATGAATTGCCTGTTCATATATTTTGCCCAATTCCTATTGGGTTTTGGTCTGTTTTTACTTAAAAGTTTGTTTAAAATATATGTTAGAGGGGCCTGGTGTTTTAACCTTGTTATACTGCAAATATTTAACTAGGCGCTGGGCCTTCCTGGAGGCAAGGGATTAAGACACAGCACTATGAAGCTATCTACAGCCAGGCAGCTCGAGTTCAATGCCTGGCTAGGGAGGTGACCCACATGCCAGGAGAGGTGCAGCAGACCTCTCCTGACTGGCCCTCTGCTCCCCTCAGCAGTGTATTTCAGTAGAGCTGCCTTTTCTGCTCCCCACTCTGTCTCTGGTGAACCCTTTCTCCTTCTCCCTCCCCCCCTCCACTCCACAATCTCTGGCCTGCACTCCAGCTCTTGTATGCATAAATAAATAAATCTTTAAAAAAAAAAAAAAACTAGATGCTGATGTTAGGATGGGGATATATGTGTTTAAGGGAATATCAACCTTTTTACTGGGTACTTTGTTAAATTCAAGACTGGGTGTTAATTTTTGTTGAAGGTATATATGGAGATAATTATATGGTAGCTCTCCCCACCACTATTAATATGATGAGTCATATTAATGAATCTCCTAATGTTAGGTCTGGCATGAGAGTGAGGCAAACAGCGAAACGTTAGCTTTATTAAGCCACTCTGCATTTCTGAAATAGATCCTACACGGACATGACATATGGTTTAATGTGCTTGTATTCGCCATCTATTGCTGCATAACAGATCATAAACTTAGTGGCTTAAAACAATGAGTATTTCTTAACGTCATTTTTATGGACATGAATCCAGGCATGGCTTAGCTGGGTTTCTGCTGTTTAGCCAGGACTGGGTCCTCATCTAAAGGCTCAATTAGAAATGAATTCGCTTTTCCGTTCAGGGGGTTGTTGGCAAGACTCAGTTCTCTGCAATTGTAGGACTGAGTGTCTTTTGCTGATTATAGGCTGGAGTTTGTCCGCAGCTCCTGGAGGTCACCCAGAGTCCCTTGGCACCACCTTGCCTTGTGGCCCTTCCCAGCATGGCCTCCTGCTCCATCAGGTCAACAAAGAGAGTCTCTAGAGCAAATCTGCTAGTGAGACAGTCTTCTTTTACGTAACTGTGGGAGCAATTGCCATCACTTTTGCCGTATTCTGTTGGTTAGAGCAAAGTCAAGCTTTCCTTCCACTCTGAAGGCATTGGAAACCAGGAGCTCTAGGGGTCATGGACACCGGAGCCACCCACCACAGTGCTACTGGATGTTGCTTACTAATATTTATTTTTGCTACAATTTCCCCAGTCAGCCCTGGGTTTGATAAAGCTTAACCTCTGACGGGCTCTGGAAAGCAGACTCCTGAGGAGTGCCGTGGCCCCTCGTTGCTCTGGTGCTGAGATTTGTTTTTTTGTGCCCTTGATACTTGAAGCATATCTTGACTGGTTATAAAACCCTGTCTCTTTCCTTGAATTTGTTCAAATATTGCTCTGGGTTGTGCTGTTTTCAGGAAGCCTGATAGAAACATACTGGTCTTCCCTTTGTAAGCCACTTTTCCTGGGGCTTTAAAAAAATATTTGAAGTTACTTTTAAAGTCGAATCATTTCACTAGGAAATGCCTTATAGTTGTTGGTACATGGGATGGGTGGATGGGCTTTGAATATGGAGAACAAAATCATTTCCAGAAAGTTTTCTTGCATTATAATTTTAAATATTAATCATTTTGTTTTTCTTCCTCAGGGATTCCAATAATGTCTTTTGACTAGATCTTTACTTTCTCTATGACTCTTTACACCATCTATTTCATTTTTGTTTTGAGGTTGTTC